TGAGATTTAAATCCTCTGTTGAGTGCATCGTTTAGGTGATACTTTTACATTCTCAAAATCCACCCAGTTCAAATGATATGAATGCAATGGTATATGGAGTTTGGGACCCAAATTAATTCTTGTAAATTACATGTATCTGAAATTCACAATAGAACTTGTGATTATGGATTAATGTCATTGGTTTCATATTCACTGTTCCATTTTTTATGTGAAGAAATATTTGTTAGAATGAAATTTAAATGAATGTTGCTTAGTTGTTTGTGTTGTACTAGCTTTAGGAAAGGGGAATAATCTGACAAAAGATGAGAATATCAAAACAAATGGAATTGAGAAATATCTGATTTCGTAGAAGTTATATAAAAATATAAGAATAAATAAATAATATTAAATTTGTAAAAGTTGGAGATTCCACTTTTTAATGAGAGATTCCAAAAACAAATTTTAGAACTATATTAGTCATATAAACAGCAGTAAGTAAATTTACCAAATAAAAATACATAGGGGGATTCTTCTTTTGTAAATTTACATGGCTATTTAGTGATATTGACACTAAATCAAATACATACAATATAAAAATAATAAAAAATAAAGAGTAACGCCAAATGCAGGGTGATATTGTTCATAATTCTTGAATAGTGTAGAGATGTAGCGCAACAGGCCGGATCCAGCCAGGTTCAATTACCTATCCTGTGCTCGAGAAGGAGCAAAGCCCTCGGCCTCAGAGTTGACCGCAATTTTATCAAAACTCTTTCCTTTAAATAATGAATTAGATCCTTAGAGTTACCCAGTACACTACACCGTACATACAAAAAAGAAAAAAGAAAAAGAAAAAAAAAAAAACATGTGTAGAAGAAGCAATATCCCGGTGATAGACATGGGGGATTTGGCCCGGGATGCTATTATTGGGGCGTGCGAGGAGTGGGGTTGTTTCAGGATTGTCAATTTTGGTGGGTTTTTGCAGGAATCTTTGATGATGGAGATGAAGTGTGTGGTGAAGTCGCTGCTTGAGCTTCCCGTTGAGATCAAGTCCAGGAACACTGACGTGGCGATTGCTGGGAGTGGGTATATGCCTCCTTCCCAAATCAATCCCCTTTACCAGGCATTGGGCCTTTATGATATGGCCTCTCCTCTTGCTGTTAACGCATTCTGCGACAATTTGGAAGCAACTCCACACCAAAGGTTACCTATCTTCACTTGCAATTTGCCCTAATTTCTCATCAATTTCATTCATAATTTAGTAATTCATCAGGTCAGTTATCCTAAACTATGCGAAAGCAGTGAACAAGCTGATGGCCGATATTGCGGCAAAAATCGGGCAAAGCCTTGGGCTTATTAACGGGCTCTCCATAGAGGATTGGGCTTGCCAGTTTAGGATTAACAAATACGATTTTACCCCTGAGACTGTGAATTCTCCTGGAGTACAACTCCACACAGACTCTAGCTTCCTTACTGTGCTTCAAGATGATGACGTCATTGGTGGGCTTGAAGTGATGAAAAGATGTGGAGAATTTGTGGCCGTTGATCCCTGCCCTGGAACTCTTCTTGTCAATCTTGGTGATATTGCTGCTGTAAGTATAAACCTCACTCTGATGGTGAATTTGAAAGATAATTCTGATTCTTGTAGCTACTTTTGCCAATCTTCAGTGGTGGTACTAATTAATGTAGAATACTAAATTCTTTATTTCAGTTAATTGAGAATCATCACAGCGTCAACTTTTTTAATTTGTGATCATATCAGAATCTGTGATCAGTCTAAACCTGAAAGTAATTAGGTTGCAATATATTTGAGCTAAATTTCTCATGTTAGTATTTGTGATAACTAGTCTGCATAAATGTATGCTTAAGTTGAGTATTATAAAACCTGGATTAACTTGTTGCATGAAAGAAGGTGTGGAGCAACGGGAGATTCTTGAACGTTAAACACAGAGTTATGTGCAAGGAAGCGGGCCTGAGAATCTCAGTTGCTTCATTTTTGTTGGGACCAAAGGAGGATATTATAGAGGCGCCATCAGAAATCATCAGGTCAGAAAATCCTCGTTTGTTTGTCCCTTTCACCTATAAAGAATATAGACAACTCAGAGTATCTAAACGACTGCAGACTGGCGAAACTCTTGATTGCTTTCGAGTTTAGTCATAACAAACGATGGCAGAAAATAAATTGTCTTTTCTATTAGGTTTAGTGCAATGCATTTTTGTGTGCTTGAATGAGTTGCGCTGGCTCCAACTAGTAGACCTCCGGTGCTCTAGAAGCTTAAAGGATGCGGAGACTTCTATTTGTGTTTTCTCTTTGTTTTATTTTGCATCTCAATCTCAATCAACTGTTTGATTTAATGTCCGTGCAACATATTTTAGCTATAAGAAACTCCTATTGTACAAAATGTTGAATATAATAATTCAATTTGATTGACATGAATGAATTGTTAGATTGGTTATTTATAGAATCTACTATTTATCCGACGACATATTTTTGGGGCTTTTCCCACTAAATTTCCAAACCCCTTTTCGACTTCCAAACCAGTCTTTAATTTGCTTTCTTTTTCTTTTAATTTGCATTCCTAAATCACACTAATTTGTTTCACTTAACTCCCTCACACTAAAAAAATACATTATGTCACATCAACCCTCACTACCAGCATTCTTAAAATTTTTATTATTTTCATCTCTTCTCCACTCAACCTCCTTTCC